ATCATTAAAAAACTTAATAAAACCAATTAATAAAAAATTAACCTGAACAACTGTACCCCCACCTCCTGGAGGTACAGCTTTAGTAATACTTGAAACTTTGCCTTTTATCCAATCATAAACTACCATGTTCCAATCTGGTTCGCCAGTGATTGCCACTATATAAGTGTCATCATGAGTAAATGATATTGTTTCATATCTGTTGGTATTGGACTCATGGGGAAGATTTAAAACTCTCTTTTTCTTTAAAGTTTGTAAATCAAATATTAATATTTGGCCTTTTTCACTGTTTTGAATAATAGCAGCATATTTTCTGTGATTAAGATTCAACCAAATATATATTTTAATAAATGACTCCTCTGAATGTAATTGATTTTATTAATTAAAATAAAGTTGTAAATCAACATATACTTGTGAACAATAAATATTGACTAGTTTCCAAATTTCTGAATAATTGTAATCAATAAAAAAAAATGTGTAATACTAAAATACAAAAAAAAAAAATTATAATAATGATTAAATTGGTTTTCTACAAATTTATCAAAATGAAACATTTTAAATAAAACAAAATTATTTTAATAAATTTATTAAAATAAAGTGCAATTTCTAAATTTCTAAACAAAAAAAAAACTTTAAAATTTTTTATATTTAAAAAAAAATTTAAATTAAACTAAAATAAAAAATGATTTCCATAGCTCAAACTAAAAAAAAAAAAAAACAATAAAATAAAAAAGTATAAACCTGACACTAAGACAAAAAGTATGTATAAAAGTATTTAAAAAATACAACTTGTATTCACAAGAGCTGTGAAATAATTACATAAAAAAAAGTTTTTTTTTTTTTTTTTTTGACTAAAACTAAATAAAAAAATACTCAATAAAGACAAACAATTTTTTTTTTTGTTAAAAGTGTAAAATTAAAATAACTTTGTATGCGAAAAAAATGTTTAAAAAAATACTCTTACCGACTGTTTGAAAGTACTATCATTTCCAGAAAAAGACTTTTATCGAAGAGTTTTATGTAGCGCTGCCGTTTTTCAATGTAATCTTGCAAAACTATAACTGAACCTGATGGATATAAAACTTGAAAATCTGTTATATAATGAGCACATTGTTTAACTTGATATCTGAGAGGAAACAAAGCTTTTGGTGTAATTTGAGCAAGCGTCATTTTTTCTTTTTCTTTTTTTTTTTGAATTAATATAAATTCTCAATTATAATAAATTCAATAAAATTATCGAAAAAATTATACTTTGTATTTTATACGGTAAATAAAACTTTGTTTCCTTAGTAACGTTAATTAATGATTTATCGACAAAATTACCTGCAATTTTTCAAAGGAAATTTTTGACAACAGGGATATTTACTAGAATTTTACATATTCTCAAGGATTACAAGTGGGCGCTGAAAGATCAACCAACGCATGAATCCATGAAGGGATTTTCAAATATTCTGAGTTTTTGTCAAAAATATATAAGTAAACTGTGCTGCAATCACGGAGTGTTGCACCCCAGCTTCTTTCAACATGACAGAGTACAAACTCGTTGTTGTAGGAGGTTTGTTTCTTTTGCATGTTTTGGCACGCCCCTTATCCAATGTTATTTTATGTCTGTTTCAAAAATTTAAATGTCACTTCAATGTGTATAATATATTTTGTGTATTTTATTTTAAGTCACTAATCTTAATTAAGTCTATTTTTATTTAATTTAATGTATTAATAGGAATGATGTTTTTGCTTTACAAATTGATCTACCAACAAATTATTACTTACATTAACAGATGAGTTAATAAAAATTATGAGTAAAATTAATTTTAATATCTATTATGTATAAATGTGTCATAATTTTATTTCTTACAATTTCTAAATTTAAAATTTCATTTTAAAATATGAATTTTATTATTGTTATTTAAATACTAGAATTTTACTTTCCAAAATTAACTAAAATTTAACATTTACTTAGGGACACAATGTAATTTGGTGTACACAAGAGATTTAAATAAATTATGTATTATAATAAGGGAATAATAGGGAGTTTTTAATTAATGTTATAGTTTTTGCTTTAGATTTAAAATGAATATTTTTGAAATGGAGTCACATTCACATTCTCCAATTTTGCTCATGCAATTAATAAGGTATTACCATAATCTCATGGTGATTCATGAAAAATGAATTGCTTATTATGGCTTTTGATTATAAAAATTCTGGCACTAAATGAAAATATTTTTGATACTTTTGTGGGTTTCAATTCGATTAAAAATTACAAAAAGAATAATGTAATGTTTAAAAGTCCTTTCTTCTTTAAACAAGTGAATTAAAATTAAGTAAAGTTTTTTCTTTTTTTCTCTCTAAATTTAAATTTAAAAAAAATTGTTACGATTAGTAGAAATTAAAGATATTAAAACTTATAAAATCATCATGTGTACACTAAAATTTGTTACAAATAACAGTTTTTTTAAAACAATCTTTACAATCTGAATGTTTATTATTAACATTTGAAATTTTATTTAAATATTAAGATACATTTTAATGTGAATAATTTAATTTTCAGCTGGTGGTGTTGGAAAGAGTGCCTTGACAATACAGCTTATACAAAATCAGTAAGTACATTCTTAATAGCTTATATTTTAAAAATTAATTATGTTGTATTATTTAAAATATAAATGAATAGCAGCGAAATTAATATTAACAAATAATTATTGTATCGTAAAATTTTTATTTTTCTATTTCGATTTTCGATAAATTTTTAATAATGTAAACGTTCTCTCCCTAATTGAAATCTTTCAATAAAAATGTATTATCACATTTTAAATTTTTAAAATTTGTTAACTTTTAAAAGTAATGTATATGTTTGTATACATTTCAAAAATATTTCATTTTTACTTTATGTTATAAACACTAAGCATTTTATTTTCAAGTTTCTTTAAAAAAACAAACAAATTTTTGAAAAAATTTTACGATTAGTTTTCAAACCAAATTTTAATTAAATAAAAAAAAAGTTATTTATTTTTTTTTAACTTTTATGACAGAACTGGTAAGAGTGATATAACTAGAGAGAGCTAAATAATGTAAGATAGGAAAAATAATATAAAAAGCTTTTAGGACTGCCTTTCATTATTTAAATTATTTAATCTTTCATGGAATTTTTATTCATAAACAGTGTATTAGGCATTATTCGAAGGTGCTCGTGAAACTTTTTGTGTAAAAAAACTTTAAATTGTAAAAAATAAAAAGTAATCTATGTAAAATTTAGACAACATCTATTTACTCGAGAATAAAATTTTTTTTTTTTTTTTTTTAATAATTTGAGCTTGATTCATTAAATTTTTAGTATTAAAAATTGTCTAGAAGAATAATTAAAATCATTTAGACAAAATAGATTTAACTACTTTAATTCTCCAGCATGTATTCAAATGATAAATTATAAATTGTGTAATTTTTAACAGATTCTAACAGTAAAAATGACTTATAAAATATTTTAAATTTTTTCCTAGTTTATTTTAAATGTTTGATTAAAAATTTTTTTTAAATTAGATATCGACCTATAATTTAAAATTTAAAATTACAAATAATTGAAATATTGATTGTTATTTTATTAATTTTTTTAAACTGTCATTAATAAATACATTGACAGATAAATAACCGCTTAGTATCTGAATATAATAATAATAATAATAATTTTTTTTTCTCTCTCTCTCTTTCTCTTTACAGTTTTGTGGATGAATATGATCCAACAATTGGTGAGTAATTTTTTTTTTTTTTATAATGTAAATAAATGTTTACATTTTAAATTTTGAATTGTGTTTATTATAATTGAAATGTCTTTTAAATTGAATATTTTAGAGGATTCCTATCGCAAACAAGTGGTTATTGACGGAGAGACATGTCTGTTGGATATATTGGACACGGCAGGTCAAGAAGAGTACAGTGCCATGAGGGATCAATACATGAGAACAGGGGAGGGCTTTCTTTTGGTTTTTGCCGTTAACAATACTAAATCTTTTGAAGATATTAGCATCTATAGGGAACAAATAAAAAGAGTTAAAGATGCAGAAGAAGTGCCTATGGTTTGTGAGTATTACTTTTGTAAACAATTTTTTTTCTCAACAAGTCAGTCATAAAAATGTGGCATAGTCATTTAACGTCAATACAACTCGAATAAATTTCATCAACTCTTTGGAATTTTAATTAATCAATCAATATTTGCAATGTCTTTTTATAGACATAAATGTAGAAATTAAATATTCATTTGTTGTCGTTCATAAAATCAAACCATGATTTCTTTTTTTTTAAAGTAAAATAGATAGTAAATGATAACAAAAAAAAAAAAAAAAAAATTACTTACCGATGATGTAAAGATACATAATTCATTTTGTAATATTATTTCGATTTATTTTCCTCAATTTTTGAATACCTGAAAAGAAGAAAAAAAAGTTAAAATTTTGTTTGTTTTTTTTTTTTTTTTTTTTTCAGAGGTTGGCAATTAGTGTGATTTGCAAAGGTCCCTAAATAAAAACCAGGCACAGGATATGGCAAAGCAATATGGTATTCCCTTCGTTGAAACTTCAGCAAAGACAAGACTTGCAGTTGATGATGCTTTTTATACACTTGTTAGGGAAATACGTAAAGATGTTAGTAGTTATTAATTAATAACTTAATTAATTAATTTTTATCTTTTTATGTATTATTATTATTAAATATTGTTTTTTTTTTTTTAATAATGTTTTCCAGAAGGAACAAAAAGGAAAGGATAAAAGAAAGAAACCTTTACTGCGGATAGGAAATTGTAGAAAATTTTGTTTGATTTTGTAATCAATAAGAACAGAATATAAATGTTATATAAATAAGTGATTTTAAATAAAAAATAAATAAAAAAATAAATAAATAAAAAATAATAATAATAATAATTAAAAAAAAGAAAAAAAAAAAAAAAACTATTCGTTAAAGGGAAACAAACTTTCAAGGATGTGTGTTGCAGTGAAATTTAGAAAGTGATGATGAAATAATAATAATAATATTAATAGTAATTAAAATAATAAATATAATAATAATAATAATAATAATAATAATAATATTAATACTATATAGTAATAATGATAATGATAAAATTAATAATAATAATAATAATAATAATAATAATGTTAATGAAAAAAAATTAATTTTTTCTGGTGTTTTTATTTTTTTTTGAATTATTATTATTATTATTATTATTATTATTGTTATCAATCTACACAAAATAACTTTTCGTAATTCGTGTATTTTATTTTTTAGTGGCGCCAAAATTTAAATTAATAATTTTTTAAAAAAAGAAAAAAAGACTTTGCTTGTCGTTTTAACTGTTTTGTTTTTATTCGAATACCCAAATTAAAAAATTGTTTATAAAAAATTTTCAAAAACAATCGACAAATTATATATTTAAAAAGAAATTTAATTTTGATTAGAAAAAAGAAAAGGTTTTTTTTTTTAATTTATAAAGAATATTATTATTATTATTTAATATATTTTATTCATTAAGTGCTTTTTTTTTTTTTTAAATTGTTAATGAATAATTAATTTTTCAAACATTATTATTATTTAAAAAAAAAGAAAATAATAATTATTATTATTATTATTATTATTATTGGAAAAATCAGCTCAAAAATTTATATCTATCAATCATTTTAATGTTTTAATTGTTTTTTTTATATTATTATATCATTTGTAATTTTTATTATTATTAATAATTAATTCCTTTTAAATTCCGGTTATTATCTATTTTTTTTTTTTAATTAATTGCATTATTATACATTTTAATTTATTGCAAATAATTAATTAATTGTAAAAATATAATTGTGAATTATTCAGTTTTAAATATAATAATAATAATAATAATAATAAAAGGCAGTTTACTAATAATAATAATTAGAAAAAAAGGAATTCAAATTAATAATAAATTATGTTAAATGAATTATGGAATCCATTTGACGTTACACAAATAAAAAAAAATTTTTTATATTTTTTTGGGGAAAAAAACGTTCACACACTACTAATCAAATTAATATATATTTTTATTATTTTATTTTAAATTAATTATTTGCCTTTTTTTTTTTTTTTAAATGTATTTATTATTATTATTATTATTTTAAATAATTATAAATAATTTTTTTTAAAATTTAATTCACATTTTAATGCCTTACTCCATAGCTTTAATAAAATAATAATAATAATAATAATAATAATAAGTGGTATTTTTGATTACTCGGTAATAAAAAATTTAAATACCCCCCTCCCCACCCCTACCCCTCATTTTAGTTGAATAGAATTAATAATAATAATAATTAATTAATTTTTTTTTAATTGGCGCCAAATATATATAAAAAAACATCATATGAAAAAATTATTATTATTATTATAAAAAATGAATTTATTAATTAGTGTTTTTAATTATTATTATTATTATTATTAGCTTTTGATTTGTGTGGGCAAGTGAAATATTAGATAAAAAAAATTTTATTACAAATAAAAAAAAAAAACATATCATCAATAACTTTTTTTTTTTTTTTTTCTGTTTTGGGAATAAATTAATTGTTTTTACTAAATTTTTAAATAATATTCTTTATAAACAAAAAAAAAAAAAAGCGCACAGTATTTTAAAAAAAAAAAACTTTTGTCTGTTTTTTTATTTATTTTTACTATTTTTTTTTTTTTTTTAATGTTAATTTAAAAAAAAAAAATTAGTTTTTTTTTTTTTTTTTAACTCATAATATTTTTATAGTCTGCCTTTTAAAAAATTTCGATATAAAAATCAAAATATATTATTTATGATAAAAAACTGTGTAAAATATAAAATAATTTTTATGTAATATCTGTAACCTGCCTGATAATAATAATAAATAACTCAAATCATTTTTATCAAATTGTTAAAATTAATTATTTGTTATCACACACACACATTTTTTTTTTTTTTTTCTATTTCAAAGTGAATTCCTTTTCTAAATAACACAAAAAAAAAACAAAATATTTTAAAATTTCCTATTAATAAAAGTTCACTGTATGGATGTGTTACTAATTTTTTTTTTCAATTTAAATACACTTCATTAATTATTTTTCTTTATCAAAAAATGTTTTATTTTTATTATATTATTAAATTTTCTTTTATAATAGTAAACCATTCAAAAATAAATAAAAGATTGTGACGCCATTTTGTTTCATTCAAAAATTCATATAAGACAGGATATAATCTATTAATTATTACTTAAAAAATTATTATTTATATTATTATTATTATTATTATTATTATTATAAAAACCCGAAAATTCCGGTGAAAATATTACAACATCATGCACGAATACATTTTTTAAATAAAGTTTATATTAAATAGTATAAAAACTACCTTTTCATTTTTTTTTTGTTGCCCCCTTAAATTAATAATTTTCCTGTTGAAAAAATATTTTTTTTTTTACACGGATATGCAATATTTACTTTTTTTAAACGTTGGAATTCTTTTATGATACATATAAATTAAATAAAAATTTTTTTTTTTGAACCACTTAAGCACTTACAAAATCCATTTAAAATGTCTAATCAAATAATTTTTCACTACAGTTCATCGTGAATTCTTGCCTCGTTGGTTTTAGACATTTTACAAGCAGAAGGAGTGTTGAATTCAAAATGATATTCGCATTTATTTGGCTCGGTTACGGATGTGATTATATTTTCTATTCCGCATTTTAGTTTTACCTAATAATAATAATAATAATAATAATAATAGTGAAAATGGAGGACATTTTTATAACGACAATTTAAATTTTTTTTTTAAAAAATGATTTAAGGATAAGACCACTTACATAAGTTGACCGTTGAGGACCGTTCCAACATGACTGTCCTTTATCGTAAAGCATAATTGAATATTTGTCATGTTCTGGACCCACCCATTTGTTCCATTGTCCCAGTCTTGTTTCTGATCCTCCAGAACGGGGTTGCTGAGATGCCTTAAAAACAAATTTTAAAATGTGTTTATGTTAAAAACTAAATTCAAAATGGTTGGGAAAATATTTACATACCTGATCGAAAGGACATAATTTGTATACATATTCCCTATCAGTATATTCGAAACATTCTCCTTCTAAAGGAGCAAATTCTTCTTCTGCTCCAAAATCTTTGTCTAAATAGTCTTGATATTGTGTCATTTGTCTCTGAATATCTCTAACAGCTCTATCAGCTTCCTCATATTCAGATCTAGCATCATTTGCAGCTAATTACAGACAGATAACAGTCATAGATGAAAATTTTACAATTATTATTATTATCATTGCAGTGAACAAAAACTGAAAATTGTTTTTTTGGTTAAATGAAAATGTACTTACCGTTAACCAATTTTTGAGTGTCCTCATCATATTGTAATTCTGAATTTTCTCCTTTCGATTCATTTTCACCATGTTCTTGTTCTTGTTCTTGCTCTTCTTCTTCCTCTTCCTCTTCTTCATCCTCTTCATCTTGCTCTGGCACAGCAATATCTTCCTAATCACATGAAATAAATAATGTAATTATTATTTTAAAAACTATTTCACTTTTCCCCCTACTAAAGTTTATCAGCATAAAATCTTTTTCGACCATTTAATAATCACTATAACTGATTTTAAAACATGTTAATTAATTGTGATATGAAACTTGTCGTTCAAAATTTAATTAAAAAAAAAAAGAAATACCTCTGGAGTTTGTCTTTCTTTATGATATTCATCAGTAACATCTTCAACAGTTCCAACTCCATCATTTGGTTCTGATACTAATTCAACATTTTGTTCTGAATCGTTGTTTTTTTCCGGAGGTTTAAATAATCCCTTTTCCATCATAAAAAATGGTTTCATTTTTGGCCAAGCTAAAAGTACAAAAAGTACAATTAACATATTTTGTAAATATTAGGGAAAAGTTTAGGGAATAAAATTTTTTTAACCTTGTTTTGATAAACTTTTTAACTTACCAATATTTAAAAAGCTATCCCAACCAACTTCTTCTTGATTATCTAAAAAAAACTTGGCTTCATCATCTGAAACAACTCCATCTCGATTTTGATCAAACGTATGTCGCACTCGAAGCTCGGATATACTTATTCTAAAAATTTAATATAATAATAATAATAATAATAATAATAATAATAATAATAATAATAATAATAATAATAATAACAACTCAATTAATTTTGTAAACTTTCAAATAAAAAATCAAAATTTTTCATTTTAGTCTTTTAAAAAATTTTAATATAATTAAGTTACTAACATTTTATTACCATCAGAATCTAACATAACAAATATGTCCATTGCTTCTTTCTCTGCAAGTTTCCTTTCATTTTCTCTTAAATTATTTTCATCTTCTTCTTTGGCTATTCTATATTTTTCTAATGCATCCTTTTCCAATTCTTCTGCTAAAACTTTTAGCTTTTCTTTTTCAGCCTTAATACTTTCAGCTTCCTAAATTTATCGAAAAGTAAATTGTATAAGTTACATAGTCACAAAAAAATTATGGTTTTTTTAATTTTTAAATAAATGAAAATTTAGTTTAATTAAAATTTGAATAATGTGACTAATCAAAAAAATTGGTCAAAAAATTTAAAAACCTGTTTGTCATTTTCCAATTGTTTTAGTTTTTCTCTTTTATCAAGCTTTAATTGCTTTCCTTTTTTTATGGATTGAATTTTGGCTTCGAAACCCAATTTTGTTATTTCAGCTAATTTTTGCTGTTCTAATCTTTCAGCCTTGCCTAACTCATGGCATGTATTGGAACAGGTTACTTTGCCCACATACTCATCGGATCCATCACAACAATCTAAAAAATGAAAATTTTCAATTCCAAATTGTAACATATTGCTTCAAAAAATACCAATCACTTGAATATTATGTAAATACTTAATTTTGAATATTTTATTTTCAATATAAAAAGACTTTTGCATATGTATTTTGTAATATTATTTCTTTTGTAGAAAAATAAATAAGTTTATTACCAAACATAAAAACCAAACAAATTCTCGAATAGATATTTAAATTTTAGTAAGTTATTCATTAATCAAGTTTAAGCTTTACTAACTTTAATATTATTTAAGAAAAACAATGTTTTCATTTTTTTTTTTTTTTAAATGAATCTAAATTTTGGTGAGTGGAATTAATTCTAAATATATGAAATAAAGTGAAAACTTACCACATATACCATCATTAACAAGGGAAGAAGGAATGTTTAATGGTTTAAATCCAGCATTGGTGCAGTGAAAAAACCCGTTGGGACATGCTGCTGTACCAGGTTCATCACTGCCGTCTGGGCAATCACAAAAATCATCGTTCACTTGCAAAAATGGAATAGTTATTGTTCCATCAAAACAAGTAAAATCTTGATCTGGAATGTACAGTGATGCCTCTAAAAATATAATATTTGTTATTATTCGTAATGACTTGACAACAATCTGAGTTAAATGGATGTACAAAATATCAAAAATATCAAATTTTATTTAAACCTACTAGATATTGATACTCCTCTTGGCCTCCTAATCTCTGATGCTTTATTTGAATAAACTAAACAAGAAAAAAATATAACAAACGAGAAATATATAAATGCAAAATGTGACGTACTAGAAAATGCCGATTTGGCCATAGCCATGATAATAATTTTATTAAAATTACAAGTGCGGAAATTCAACGGTTTTATCGCGTCGATAACCGGGAACTCATAGTCTGAGACGCGTGTTTTACCTCAACAAATTTTTCAAGACTTCACTTGTGTTCTACCAAATGTTTACGAGGAGGAAATCTACTAATTACCGTTTACTAAATAGTAATTTTTTTTTAAACTGAAATATTTAAGATTTCTTTTTAGTTTTCAAACCCTACGCTAGTAAAGTTAAAATTTAAAAAAAAAAAAAAAAAAAAAAAATTTAGTTTATTTAAAAAAACAGAAATTATAAAAATACATAAAATAATGATAAAGGTACAGGATATAAAATTACATAAATGAAACAAAATATAAGATTTGAAATTATACACAGATTTTAAAGGAAATAATTTATTTAAAAATAAAAAAAACATTTAAAATATAATTTTAATTTTTAATGCTAGCTAAATGGTAATTGCACCACAAAAAGTATTATTATTATTATAAATGTAATAACTGTACATATAAAGTTTGTAATAATAATTTTTGAGTTGCTAAAATATAATTTTTTTTTTTTTTGTATAGGAATTATAATCCACCAATAAAAAACATGGCGATTATTAAGTTGGTAACAAAAAATAACTGTGGTTCTCAGCTGATGGAAAGGGGGAAGGAGGTCAAGTTATCGTCCTAGAGAAATAGTTTTAATTAAATATTCATCTAGTTTTGTTTTTTTTGTTAAAAAGTGTAATTCATGGAATATAGTTTTTGTTTTACTACAATTTAATAAATATTTTAAAATGGGTTCTAAAATTGAGTACGTTGAATCTTCTCATGTTTATGTGACTAATTATGTAAGAAATTTTAAAGCTGTAGGTGTGTTATGGGGAATCTTTACAATATGTTACGCTATTATTATTATTGTGTCTTTTGTAACACCCGAATGGATTGGTGATACATCGACTTCTGAAAATCCCGGACGATTTGGTTTATGGACTAGATGTTTTTATCGGGGAAGCAGTGAATTAAATGGTATAGGTGTTGAGGAATGTGTAGGTCAACTGGATGACTTTGGGTCAATTGTTACCGTTGGTTTTAAGGCGGCTACTATTTTAGTTGCTATATCCGTTGTCGTTGCGTTGCTTACAATTTGTGCTATGATATTGCTTTTCTTTTTCCCTTCAACTAAGGTATTTTTAATTTGTGGCTGGATGCAACTAATGTCAGGTGAGTTTGCTTATGTCAATCATTTATTTAAGTTATAGCATCTATTTGTGGGAAATTCCCTATATTGTTAATGTCATGTGAAGTTACTTTTATTACATCAAAACTCATGTATTTGTTTTATAAAAAAAAAAAAAAAAAAAAACTTTTTTTATCCCTTTATCTCATGTCGGGTACTTTCATTGTTTGTTAATTTTTGTTTTGTTAAAAACGACATTTATGTAAATGATTATTAATTATTATTTCTAATGAAAAATTTAAATTTAAAAAAATTTTACAAGAATGTTTACTTGAATGTATTCCACAATTTTAATGTGTTCTCTTTTATTTTTCATATTAGATAAAAAATAAATGGTAATTATTCGTTATTTATAACCGAACAAAGTATAAATTCTTTTTCGTAAATTAATGAAGAAAAATTATACGTTTACTAATTTAAAAACTGAAAAAAATATTAATAAAATGAAAAATTATTTTCATTATTTCTAACTATTTATCACATAGACTAAATTCCCTTAAAATGTTTAAAACTTTTGTTTATTATTATGTTTATTACAAACAAGCTTTGATATTATATTTTAATATATCAAAAGCTTTTGTGGCTCGTAATTTGTATCACATTCAAGTAAATTTTGTATTACATAAACATATTTTCAAATATATATTTTAAATTTTTAGAATGAATAATTTAAAGAAAAAAAAAAAATTATAATTACTTACTTACCGGTTGTAGCTGCATTTTTAACTCTTGGAGTTTTGATTTATCCCACCGGATGGAATTCATCTGAAGTTCGTCAAATATGTGGTCCCAACGCATCCAGTTATGAATTGGGTGAATGTGGAATTCGTTGGTCTTATTTATTAGCTGGAATTGGATGTTTTGATGCTTTAATTTTGGCCACTCTAGCTTTCATCCTTGCAACAAAACATGTCAAACTTCAACCTGAACAAGGACATTTACAAAATGGTCAAATGTATAAAGGTAAATTTTTTCATTTTAAATTTTATTTTAGTTATTATTATTATTATTAGTATTTATTATGTATATATATCAACATTAAAAACCTTTCAATTCAATTGAAAAAATTAAGTAATTAGTTATCAGTAATAAAATTTAATAAAAACAAGTTTTCCAGTGCATTTACTCAAATGTAATTTTATCAAATATAACTTTCTAATCCTTGCATAATTTCAATTTGAGTAATTTTGTGTGTAATTAATTTATAAATTTAACGATGATAATTAAAAGAAATTTGCATTCAATTACAATCATTTCCTCTCTATTTTGAAATTAATAATTATTATTAAATAATAATATCACGTGATATGATAATTTAATTTATTTTTTTTTTTTTTTTCATTTCAATAAATTTATTAATAATAATAATAATAGTATTAATAATTAAAATTTATTTCAAATTGCAGAGGATTTAAATGGACCTTATCTTTGCGATGGACAATCCTTGGCAGGATCCAGAAAATCCCTCAATATTCATCCTGTTCTTATGATGCCCCAACCGGGTGATATGGATCATTATTCAGAATTTTCCAACAGGACAACGGGAAGAACAAAATCATCAGCTTACAGAAGCGGTTACCCATCGAGTATACAAAATTTTCAGTTATAAAATAATTTGATATCGTAAACTCAGTTAACTGTACTATTATTTACTTTTGTAATTTAATTTCAAACATTGATAAACAATGTTTTTTTTTTTTCTACCTAAGATTTTACAGTCATCATGTGCATTTAAAAAAAAAAAAAAAAAAAAGTTTTCAGTATTATTACATTCTTAATAAAAGTAAAATGAATCGTCCAAAAAAAAAAAAAAAAAAAATCTTAATTATATATATATAAAACATTATAAATAAATAAATTGTACAGAAAATTATTGTTAAAATTTTTTAATTTTTAACTTTATATATAGGAAAAATATTTTATATATATTTGAATATTTTTTATATACTCTATTAAAATTAATAATTATTTGTATAACTTGAACATTTTTTATAATAAAAAATTATTTTAATTAAACTTTTTTTTACAATGAATTAAATATTTATATTAATTTTTTATATTATTGTTATTTTTTTACGTTAATTATTTACAATTAAATTTTTAAAAAAATTAAACATTAATAATAATAATTGTGAAAGGGCGGGCGGGGCGGGGGGGGGAAACGTAAAATAATTTACATTAATTACACTTAACAAAAAAATAATAATTTTTAAGATTTCCTTTCTTTTTAATTAATTTTTAAATACTTCAATTATAAGTTAAAATAAGGAAATGATTAAAATTATTATTATTATCAGAAGAAGAAAAGTAAGAAAACAGTATTAAATTTTAAAAAACTTTTTTACTTAAACTAGAAAGATTTTTGTGTAGTAGATTTCATTACAATTATGATTTAATTTAAGAAAAATAATATAAATAACAAATTTAATAATTATTTTGTTTTTATATTTACCTAATTTAAAAAATTTAAGTCCTGTAGTTCACTTATAATTAACGGTTTTCTTTTCTTTTTTTTTTTTTAACCGACCGAAAATTAAGTACGAATTTAACTGATTTTTCTAGAACCACTTTGTTTATTCTCAGTGGTACAAGATGCATTAATTATTATATGACGTGAACCCAGTCAGCAATTTTATTGAGCCAAATATTAAAGATTTAGAAAAGCAGAAGAAAAAAAAAATTGTAAATCTTGTTGTTGCCACGACTATGAATTCGTTCAGGAATCATTCGTGACGTCACGGATTAAAATTAAACGTTACAAATCAAAATAATAATAATAATAAACCTTAAATAAAGAAATAACCTGTATATATTTATTGTGCAAATTTTTTTTTTTTTTAAATTTTCAATTTAGAAAATAATAATAAAATAATTATTAACGATTTTTACTTTTCTTAATTAGAAAATTTTTATAAAATAGTATAAAATTTGAGGGGGGGGGGGTGGAATGAATTCATATGAGAGAAATTTTATACCATTTTTATTTAAATTGTTTTCTTATTAAACGACTTTCAAAAAAAAAAATTTTTTTTTATAACTGATTTTTTTTTATTATTAATTTAAAACATTAATAAACTTTTTAAAATTTGAAATATTATTATTATTATTATTATTATTATTATATGCAGTCTTTTTTTTTTATTGATATAACTGACCGATATTATTACGAATAACTTTCATCACACACATTTATTAATCCCAAACTATTAATAAATTTTTTTTTTTTTTCAAAATTAACTTAGTTAGCTATGATAGATAGATATTAAAAAAAAAAAAAAAAGTTTATTTAAGATTATTTTAACAAAGAATGAATTTTATTTATTAATTAATTTATTAATTTATTTAATGATTAACGGTTAATTTATTTGTGTATTTAATAACGTTCATTAATTCATTACAACCTTTCAACATTCTGAACCGTATTTTTTTTCAAAAAACATAATAATAATATTTTACAAAAAAAATTTTTTTTTAAAATTTATATCGCTTTTATTATTATTATTATTTTGTTTAAAAGCTCATCCTATAATTTGGTTAGGCAGTTCAATAAAATTATTATTATTTAAGCTTAATTGATACGTAGGTAAAAAATATGTAAGCCTTAAAAAAAGCTTTTTAGAAAACCTGTCGCTCCAACCTGTTTGTTTTGTTTTAATATATATTTATATCCAAATGAAAGACATAGAAAAATAAAGAAAAATTTAAAAGTTTAAACAATAAAAATTATTTTTTTTTTTTTTTTTATAAAAAACATGAAAAAGTGAAGTATTATTATTATTATTACAATATTCACCTCTTGGCTATGTTGTTGCGATTTAATTGTGGCTTGAGCATTTTTCAAAGCCCTGAAATATAATTAAAAAAAAAAATTTTTAGCATTTTAAACCAACAAACAAACAAAAAAAAAAAAATCAATAATAATTACGTTTGAAGATTTTGAATTTGTTTTTCTTTAGCATTTTGCTCTTCTTGACTCATTTGTATAACTTTTAATAAACGATCAATTTCTTCTTGAGCTCTTTTTGAATTTTGTTTAGCTTCTTCCAATTCTTTTTGCATATTTTCCAAATCCGCTGAAAAATTACCATAATTTTCCTGGGGGAAAAAAAAGTCATTATAAATTTCATAGGATGAAAAATTGATTATTATTATTATTATTGAATACAAACTTTTTTCATTTGACTTTCCCAATATTCTTGTTTCTTTTTAAATTCAATTTCCATATTTTTAATAATGGCATCTTTTTCTTGTATTTGTTTTTCTCTATTTTTAATTGCTTTTTTAAAATCTTCAACTTGATTTCTAACTTGGTCTAATTGTTGTTTTGTTTCATTTAATTGATATGAAAGTGATGCCATTTCTGCATTTTTTTCTTTCTCATTCGACGCTTGAACTTTTTTATTTGTTTCAACAAGTTCAACCTAAAAAAAAAAAAAAAAAATTTTTTTAAATTAATTTTATTTGTTGAGTACTTTTTTTTTCTCTCTCACAAAATTCATATAAATGGTTTCAAAATGTTTTGAAAAAGTTATTATTAATTAAATGTCGAAGCTCATGTTATGTTTTTCCGAATAAACTAACCTGTTTTTTTTCTAATTCTTGAACAAGCATTTCCAATTGTGATTGATATCTTTCTCTTTCAACAGATGAATTTTTTATTTCCGCTTTAGCCATTTCTAATTCCTTTCGTAATTTAATCAATTCCTGATTGGCATTAACATCTTGATTCCACTGCTGTTTTTGAGCCTGTTGTAATTGTTGTATTTGTTGCTGCTGTTGCTGCTGCTGTTGTGATAATTGTTTTTCCAATGCTTGCACCTTTTTCTGCATGTCAAACGCTAATTTTTCCGCATTGTTTGCTCTCGTTTGCTCCGTTTCCACAACTCTTCTCCACTGTTCTAATTCTAAATCTGCTCTTGCATTGCTCTCTTGTAGATTTTTCTCCAGCGTGAGAGTTTTCTGTTTTTCTTTCTCGATTTCCATTTGGTGAAGTTGAATTTTTTGTTGTAGTTTTGCAATTTCTCTTTCTTTTGCTTCGATCATTTCTTTTCCACTTCTCTCAGCGTTACTTTGAGCAAATCGTCTTTGCTCTTCTCTCAATTTTTTAACTTCTTCTTTTTCTCTTTGCAATTCGACTTCGGATTGTTGAAGCTCTTGTTGGAAGTTCATGAGCATGCTTTGCGATTTTTCTAGTTGAACGATGAGTTGATCTCGTTCCATTTGTAACTGTTGTATTTCGGTGTCCATCTTTTCCAATTGTTGGTCCAATTTGTCGGACTGTTTTTTGGCCGATGCTAATTTATCACGTTCGTGAATTGCTTGAGCTAATTCTTGTTGTAATTTGTCTCTTTCCTGAAGAGTGGCAAACAATTCTTTTTGCATTTTTCTTAAATCATCTTGTCCTCTGCCACTATCTTCGTAAAGTCTAACCTTTTCTTGTAGCTGATCCAGCATTCTAGTAGCCTGCTGCAGCTCGAGTTTAATAACATCCTTCTCTTCTTCTGCGAGTTTTTTTTCGTACAAAATTTTTTCAATTTTTTCATGCATTTTGCACAATTCCGCATTCTTTTTCTCTAATTCTAAATTGTTGGCTTCGTTTCCATTTTGATATTTAGATTTGTTGGCTAAAAGTTTTTCTAATTCTTTATTAAGGCGGCTCACTTCATTTTCTAATTTTTCTTTAGCTTTATTAGTTTTTATAATTTCGCTGTTACATTTTTCTATTTTATTTTTATACAATTCCAACTCAACTTTTATTTCTTCGTTTTCTTCCTTTAATTTTTGATATTCGGATAAATTCTTTTCTAACGAAGTAGATTCGACTCTTAATTTTGAGTTTTCTTGTTCCAAAATTTCAATTTTCACTTGAAGTTTTTCGTATCTGTCTTTCAACTTGTCGTTTTCAATGAGTAGCCGGTCCATTTCTCCATATTGTCTTTCTTGTCCTCCAGAAAGTTTGACTATTTCTCCGTGACTTAGATCAAGTTGTAACTGAACTTCGTGTAATCGTTCTTCAAGTTTTTCATTAGTCAAAAGAAGTTTTTGGTATTCTTGTTGAGATAATTCAAGTTTTTCCTGAAGTTTTTTGTTTTCCTGATAAAGACGCCCGGCTTCAGTCGAGCTTTTTTCTTGTTCGTATTGATATTTTCCTCTGGTCGATTCTAATTTTTCTAATTCGTTTTTAAGTCTCAGTACTTCTTGCTCTAATTTTCTATTTTTTTCATTTTCTAACAACGACTTTTCTAATTTTTCCTTTAATCTATCGATTTCTATCTTTTGCCTTTCGTAATTTTCTTTTATTTCTTGATATTTGTTCATTCTCAGTGCATATCTTTCCGATTCTTCTTTTAGACCTTCCGCATCGGTTTTGTACCTTTCCAGTTCAGTTTGAGCTTTTCTAAGCTCTAATTGAGCTTTATCGTGTTTATCGTACATTTTTTCCAATTCAATTTGTAGCCTCGCCAATTCTTCCTGGCATTTTTCATTATTTGCTTGTGCTTTGCCACTTTGTGAATGTGCTCTTCCCAGTTCAAAAATTAATCTTTCATTTTCTCCTTGTAATTTTTCTTTTTCATTTTGAATCCTCCTCATTTCTATTTGTGTTTTTTCGTATCGTTCTCTAACCATATCTAAATCAACATGCATTTTATCTATATTTTCTTTATATTTTTCTTCGTTTTCTTTTGTTCTAGAAAGTTGCAAACTTGTTCGATCGCATAATTCTTGTAACCTTTGAACTTCGTCAAGAACTTTACGATGTTCTTCTCTAGCTTTTGCAGCTAATAATTGAGATTTTTCAGCTTCTAATTCTAATCTATCCTTTTCTGATTCTTCTGCTTCCAGTTTGGTTTGCATTTTATATATATCTCCTTGCAATCTGCAAAAGTAAATTAATTTTTTGACCTTTATCATGAACCTTTTGATTTTTTTTTCTTTTTTTTTTTTAATAAATTTTTTTTCAAATCACCTGTCAATTTTTTCAAGAAGCCTTTCATTTTCTTTAATAACTGTTTCTTTATCTTCGATAGCTCTCTCTAAAGTACTTTGCTGTTTTTCCAATCTATCTTTTAATATTCCAATTTCCGTAATAGCATCTTCTTTTTCAATTTGAAGCCTTTGTTGCAAACTTTGAGCCTTTTCCCATTTTTCTCTAAGTGATTCCAATTCCCTTTGAAGATTTTCTTTTTCTCTTTGGTTTTTCGCTCCTTGACTTTGTTGGAATTCAACTCTTTCTTGTAGTTTTTCAACCTGTTCTTGGAATCCATCTCTTTCTTTTTGCAATCTAACCATTAATATCTACAACATTTTACCTTTCTCCAGTTATGTTCCTTTTAAAAATAAATTTTGGTCGTTTAATTTTTAAAAATGACAATTTTAAATTAATACTGAAAAGTTAATTTTATGTAGTTTTACTTTTTCATATTTTTATTTTTAAACATTTTATAACATTAAACCTTTTAAAGGAAAAAAAAATTTTTATTTTATTTAGGTAGCGCCTGCCTTAATAAAAAATAAACATAATTAATAGACAATTAACATGGTGTGTCCTTTCTAGAAATTCTTGTAAATTTTTAATTTTTACCAAAACAACACAGAATATTTATTTTTTAGTTTACACCCTGTTAAAACGAATGATTAATTTTTTACATATACATAAATATAAATACATTAATTATTGTTATAAAAATATAACATTTATCACGTACCTGAGTTTTTTCAAATTTGTCTCTGGCTCTTTCAAGTTCTATTTGTACGTTTTCCCGCTCTTTTTGTAGTCTTGTTGCTTGGCCAAGAGCTTTATCGAGTTGCGATTGAGTATTATCGAAATCGTAAAGTTGTTTTTCTTTTTCCACTTGTAACTAATTGAAAAAGTTTTTTTTTAATATTATATGACTTATATATACTCTATGACTTTGAATTTCATGTTTACTTACTCTTCTGACTTCACTAGAGGTTTTATCTAATTTTTCTTGAAGTTTGTCAATTTCCGTTTGGGCTTTATCCAATGCATTTTGAAGTTTTTCTTGTTGCGATTGAGATTTTAATAAAGTGCCCTGAGTTCTTTCTAACTCTTCTTTTAACTTTTCTAAATCAGCACAAGCTTTATCTCTTTCAGAATGAAGGCGTGTTATTGTACCTTGAGATCGATCGTATTCCTCTCGAAGACTCTCTCGCTCGGCTTGAGCATTTTCCAAACGAGCTTTTAATCTGTAGACTTCACCCTGTGACTTTTCTAATTTCTCTTGGAGAGTAGCCGTTTCCGAATATGCTCTTTCGTTATCTGCTTGCACGACCCTCAATTCCGCTTGAGCTCTCCTTAACTCTGCGGCCATTTTTTCTGCTTTTTCTTGAACTCTATCTAATTCTTGAGAGGTTGACAAAGTGCTTCTTCCAAAAGTGGTTTGCGATCTTTCTAAATCGTGTTTTAACCTTTCATTTTCAAGTTCTAGTCGAGCTAATTTTTGTTTTGCAGCTTCCCAATCGGCACCACTTTTCCCAACTTCGCTCGTCGCTTTATCCAATTCGGCTTTTGATTTACCCAATTCGGATTGAGAACTTTCTAACTTGGCTTCTAATCTATCTTTTTCAGCTTGCGCTCTTTCCAATCTCGCTCCAAGTTTTTCTACTTCATTTTCCAACGCGTGAAGTTTCATTTTATACTCGGCTATTTCTCGTTCGTGAAGTTCCCTTTCCTCCTGTTTTTCCTGCTCAGCTCTATCTCTTTGCTCGCGCAATTGATTCATTTGCTTCTCTTTGTCCCCAATAGCTTCTTCCAGACTAGTTAACGCTCCTTCGGAAGAACAATGACTTGCTTGCATGGCATTCAATCTTGCTCTTGCCATATCCACTTGATTGTCTTTTTCTTTCAGCAAGTCTTCAAGGTTTTCTATCTGAAATTTTAGTAATTTTTCCATTTATTTTTAAGAACAAAAATAACATTAATTTTTTTTTTTTTTTTTTTTGCAAGCATTTCTTTAAATTTATTTTTAAACTTTTTTAAGAAATTTCATCTTGAAGAATAAAATCATCTAAACTAAAAATAGGTTAATGGAAAGTTCCAACAATAAAGTTACCTTAATTTATTTATTGATTTTACAATTTATTTAAAGTTTTCTATATATATTTAAAGAATAAAATCTAATAATATTATCATTTTATTTTTTTTTTTTATTCTTTAAAATTAAGTATTCCAAAAAAATAATTTTTTTTTTTTTTAAATGAAATTTTATTACTTTACTATTTTTTATCGAAAAAAAAAAAAAATATATTAGTCCAGCTTTTTTCGAAGAGAAAAACAAATAAATAAATAATCGATAAATTGATAATTTGTAATTAATAATGTAAATGCGAGTAAATGTTATAAAGTTTTATTAATGGTAATAATATAATAAAATTTTTTACCTTTCTTTGAAGGACGTTAATTTTTCTATCTTTTATATCCATGTGATCACGCAATTCGTTTAATTCTGTATTTAATCTGTTTTTTTCAGCAATTGCTTGTGTTGCAGTTAATGTTTTTTTTTCAATTGCACGATTTTTTTCTTCCAAACGATTTCGTAGTTCTTCTACCTGTTGAAAAACCAAAATACAAATTTTTAAAAAAAAAAATTAAATTATTTTTAATTTTATGGTGTTTAAATAAAAAAAAAAAAATTTAACTTACATCGGCTTGCATCATGTTATAATGTTCTTCTTTGGCGCAAAGGCTTTCCTTTAAAACTGCGATATGTCTTTGATAATCCTGGTGTTGTTCTTCTAATGTTTTCATTTTTGCACTCATTGCCAATATTTCTTGGTCTCGTCTTTGTATTTCGGCTCGAAATTCGTCAAGCTCAAGTAAAAATTAACAAAATAAAAAAATCAAGGATTGAAAATAAAAAAAAAAAATTATTAATATAATATTTTTTTTTTTTTTTACTTCCGAATAATACATAATAAAAAAAAAAAATAAATAAATGTGCACCTGTTTTTGAGCCATTGATTGCATTTGTTGAAACATTAATCTTTCTTCTTCCTTCCCTGAAACAATTAATTATAAATTTATTAATTAATTATGTACGAAAAAAATAATAATTAAATAAACGTCAGTCGAGTTAGTTCGGGGGAAGGGGGATCGGTGGTTGGGGTAAAAAAATTTTTTAATTTTCACTTCACAATTAATTAAATCAAAAAAAAAAAAAAACGGTACAAAACACACAATTTTTAATATTTAAAATAAAAAACACATTAAATAAATTTTTTTTTCATATTTAAAATTTTTATTTTAACCTTTACTAAAACAAAAAAAAAAAAAAAAAGAAGGGAAAGGAGATGGGGTAAAAGGGGGTAAAAGGGTCATAAAAATGAACAAAGGTCTTAATTCAATTTTTTTTTTTTCTTTCTAATGTCCAATATTTATGTTACTCAACATAAAAAATATTTTTAATTATCACAATATTTTACAATAAAGATTCCCGCACTTTATTTATTTATTTATTTATTTATTTTATATATAAACCGACCCTAAAATATTATTAGTTTGATCAGAAAATATAAAAAAAAAAAAGTTAAATAAATGTACAATAATCGTTATTGATAATATTTTTTATTTTTGTTTTTTTTTTTTTTTTTTTTTTTTTTTTAGTCTACGTTAATTTACATTAAAATTAAATATTATATAAATTATTATATTATAATTTTATTGATTTATAATTAATATAAAATATCGATAAACTTCCAGTTTGCGTTTATTAACGACTTACCTATACCTTTAGTTTGAAGCATTTCCAGAAGTTTTTTTATGCTTTCATCTCGAGCTTGAAGGGTTTGCTTTTGAGTTTCCAATCTTAATTCAAGTTCCTGTAAAAGAAAATAATAATAATAATAATAATAGATGCAACAAAATAATCTCGTTTGGGGTAGAAGAAGAGGAGGCGAAAAGAGTGGAAAATATTTTCACGATTCTTTCACGAAATGGTTTCAACGGAGAAATTGAAATATTTCCAGGGCATAATTTAAAGGCAGGTTGACTTCTGGAATTTTTGGAAAACTTCCTTTTAAATTAAATGAGTATTCAAGTAAATTTTTTGAACAATTTAATAAACTTTCAAAACACAATTTCTATCTTTTAATAATAATCATTAAAAAAATGTTTAAAAAATAAACTTGAAGTAATAAAAAAAAAAAAATCTTTTGTAAATTAATAATTTAAGAAAGACAATCTTGTGTATAACAAGATCCCGAGGGAAAAGAAAAGAAAAAAAATTTTTTTTTTAATGCTTAAAATTTTAAATAAGGGCAAATCCATTGTAAATTTCCATTCATTTGAAATTTTTATTAAAAATTAACTTAAACAAATTTTTTCTCTATTAAATAATAATAATAATAACGATTGAAACTGATTAAAACAAAAAAAAATTTTTTATTTTCATTAAAACAGGAGCTTTTGATAAAAGTTTTTAAAATAATAGTTTTTTATTATTATTAAGGTTTAAATAATAAAATAAAGTTTTTAAATAAAAAAAAAAAAAAAAAAGAAAGAACAAAAGTAAAAAAAAATCGAAAGTTCTCAAAAATTTTTCTTTTTTAAGAGCTTTTACTATTTTCTTTATTGTTCTTTTACAAAAAAAAAACTTTTTATTGATTTTGAAAAAAAATAATTATTATTTGAATAAAACGTACGCGTTATTATAATATGACGTCATTATTAATAATTTAAATTGACTTACTCTTATTGTTTCTCTTAATATTGAAACTTCTCTTGTAAGATGTTCGTTTTCTGAAAAAAGGGCGTCCATTTGTGCTTGCATTTCAATATTTGGATTTCTCATTCTTAATCTTAATTCTTCTTCCAACTGTCGAACCAGCATCGCTTGTTTCTGTAATTATTATATTAGAATAACACATTTAAATATATGAAATTATATTAATTAAAATGTTATTCGGTTATTTGACTCACTTGATTTTCAGAATTAAGAAGTTTTAGCTGATCATTTATCAAACTATATTTAGCGCTTTCTTCTTTTCTGAGTGCTCGCTCTTTTTTAAGCTCAGGACTCCAAAAAGTTTTAATACTGTGCATGCTGGAGCCTAATTTTTGATTTGTGAGTTCGAGTTCTTTTTTTAAATTAGATAACTCTCTTTGCAAATCACTATTTTGATATTGTAATTCACCGATAAAACTACCCCCGTCACGAGATGATACGTGGTGAGGATTGGGAGATTGACGAGAACGTCCTATGTAAAAATCATCTTCCAAATACGTTCCCCTGTCCCTGAGTGCTCCACGTTCCAACGAACGATCTCGGGGTTCTTTTATCGGGATAAACTCCCGATCGTGAGACACATCTCCCAATCCTCCACGATCCAAGGATTGATATCTGACCGACATGGATTGTCCCACCGGAGCACGAGTCGCACTCCTCGAACGGTGGTGACTCCCACCAATCGATCTTCCTCTTTCTTCCATCATTATCGGACTTCCTAAATCTTCTTCCCGGTAATAAGATGAATTTATATAATGACCGTAACCATGTTCGGGAGAATTGTTTCCCGATCGTGATGGTTTGCTTTTTCTTCCAATTGGACTTCCTCTGCTGGGATAATTTCTAGATGGCGATCTGTCGACGGTGGGAAGCTCGCCGAGACGCCTAGAACTTCTAGGAGAACGATTACCACCACCACCTCCGGAACTCAAGTTAGATGGACCATACGAATCTCTAGACATTTTAAAATATTCGCTTTCTTCTTTTTATCGTAAAAACCATTCACAACAACCTTACTAAAATCATCATCATCATCACATTTTAGTTCATTTAGAAACATTTTTTCCAGTGGTCTCTTGAGAAGACAAATCAACAATATCCCTTTCAGGCATATCCAATTATATTCTATCGAACATATATCTAATATTATCATTCGAATAAAATTTTTTTTTGCTAAAAAGTATTGATATTTTTCTCTTTACCAATTATCATGGCTGCCTAGTTTTTCGTGGTTAACAGTTCTTCCCAAATTTTCTTCAGTGATAAAATTCAAAATCATATTGATATGAAAATTATTTATTTATTTATTTATTTGTGTTTTCAATTACGATCCCTTTCTAAAATATATAAAAATAAAACCTCGTGAGAAATAAATATATATCTATATATATATGTAAAAAATATAAATTAATGTTTTTATTAAAAATTTAACTTACCCCCGGTAACGATGGAAAATAGGGAACTGATCTGTCATACACGTCATTGCGCAAACTCAAATCGTTCACAAAACGCTCGATTTTCTTTAACGGCTCTCAAAATTTTTATATCTGAAATACAAAAAAAAAAAAAAAAATATGAGACACAATATTACTTATTTAAAAAATTTAATTAACTTTTTTTTTTTTCTCTCTTTTTAAAGCTATATTTTAAAACGTTTAAATATTTCAAAACACAAGTTGAGAAAATTATTTTCCTGGTAGAAATATGGGGGCGGGTAGGGGGAGAGGGTTAAAAAAAAAAAATTGAAATTATTAATTATTATTATTTTTTTTTCTTATTTGATTTCGAATGATTTTTGTTTTAAGACAGAAATTTAACTAATATATTTTTTTATAAATTAATAAAAATAAAAGTGTTATTAAAAATAATTAATGTAAATTTTGGGGGGGGGGTTCAATTGTGAACGTTACCAAACGCGTCATATGTGAATCAATGAATGTGTTCCCGCCCCTTTTGATTGGAATGTTTTGATTTCAATTCATTTATTCTTGTTTCTTTTTTTTTTTTTTTTTTTTTGGGGGGGGGGGATTATTTTATACAATATTATTGCTGTTGTTTTTTTTTTTGCTGTTGTTGCAAATAATAAACATTTTCCTATTAAAAAAAAAAAAAAAACAATCTTTAAAAAAATTTTTTTATTATCGACGTCGTAGAAAAATCTACACCATTCAAATTAAAAAACTGAAAATAATAATTATTATTATTATGATTTTTTATATATTTAAAATAATATTTTAATATTATTCATAAATTAATTATGACATGCTAAGTGGTTGGGTCATGTGTAAAAAAAAATTCTAAAAAAAGAACGCATGAAATATATTATTCCATTTATCGTGTTAAATTATTAACATAAAACGATCAATAAAAAAAAAAAAAAAAAAAAAATTTTCAGACTTTCGCACGTCAGTCACGTGGCTTATAATAATAATAATAATAATAAATTATAATATTATATAATATTATACAATTGATTTCGTGTGATCAAATTATGAATGAATCAATTTAGTTTAATTAATTTTATTTCCTGTTTAATAAAATTTATATCAAAAAAAAAAAAAAAAAGACAACGAAAATTATTCGAAACAAATTTTAAAATAAAAATTTATAAATATATATATTTATATTAAAATAATAACAATGAATTAGATTAATAATAATAATAATAATAATAAATTTTTTTTTTTTTCGATCAATAGGCTTTCTTATTCAACATGTTACGAGCATAACTAAAAATTTTCGTGAATTTTCGGAAAATTACGGCGGAATCTTACGAAAAAAAAAATTTATTTATCACTAACGTCTTTTCGTAAGATTTTATTTTTATTTAAAAAAAAAATTTGTTAAAATTAATTTATAATATAATATTTAATTATTCGTCGTTTATTTGTGATACACCTCATTATCACAAAATGACAAAAAAAAATTTTAATATATATATATATATATTATTAAAATAAATATCATTATTAACATTATTTAACAAGTTAAAATTACGTGCACGTTATTTTTTTTATTATTTTATTAACATAAAAAAAAAAAATTAATTTTAAAATTGACATTAAGCAAGCGCAATCCAATTTAAAAAGAAAAGAAAAGAAAAGAAAAAAAAATTTATTTCGTTAAAAATCATTTCATGAGTTGTTTGTTTGTTTGCTTGTTTGTTTGTTCCTTCGAGTGATTAGAATTTTTATTAAATAAAATTATTAAATAATAATGAAATTAATTAATTTCGTCATAATATTATATTATTTAAATAATGGGAAATCTCAATTATTAATTGAAAAAAATTTAAATTTAAATTTAATTATTAACGTAACAACATATTTACTTAAAAGTCAGTCAGAATTCGCCAAAAAAATTGTTTTTCATTATAATAATGATAATAATAATTTAACGGATGAAATAAATGAAATAATAAAAAGTGTGGGAGGGCCCTCAACGGTAAACGCCGAAGAAGAATTATTTTATATAAATGAAATAGATTTAAGAACACCTTCGGACGTTGTTTTTTTTTCAAATTATTTTCACGATTTTCCACAAATACTTAATAAAACTCATTGGAACAGAAGAACAATTTTTATATTGGCTTATACTCAAATAAATATAACAAAAAAACAATTATTAAACATATTTCAATATTTTTGGAATTTAAATATCATAAACGTTATCGGAATTACTATAAATAATAATAATAATAATAATAATAATAATTATGACGGATTTCAGGTTTACAGTTACGAACCATTTTCCGAAAAAAAATGTAACAAATTGAAAATTATTGATTTAAATTTAAATTTAATTAAAAATTTCAAAAGATACGGTTTAAATAATTTTTACGGATGTTTGTTAAATTCGACCGTTGTCAATTTACCACCCATTATTATTTTTCCCAAAAATGAAGAGGAAATAAATGGCGGTGCATTTAATCCTACAGGTACGGAAGCATCGATAGTACTGGAATTATCGAAAAAATTAAATTTTAAATCTTGGTTTGCCATACCTGAGGATAAAGAACTTTGGGGTTGGATTTATCCATCACCGGGTGGTGTGATAGGAGACATATTTACAAAAAAAAGTTATTTCGGAATTGGACTTTTAGCTGCAACTACTGAACGCCATCATTTACTAGATATTTCCGTACCTACAGAACCTAAATTAGAATGTTTAAGTTTTGCCGTACCTTTTGGAGTTATGAAAAAACAAGCCGATTGGATCGAAATTTATATTAACGAATTTAAAATAAACGTTTGGGTGTGTATTTTAATAATATTTTGTTTTAGCACTTTTGGATTTTGGTTTATCCGGAAGATAAATTATGAGAAAAAAAGCATTTCGAGTGTCGCACTCGATACTTTTTCCGCTTTTCTAGGATTTCCCATTAACGTAACCCAAAATAGTTCGTTTAGAATTATCACGATTGCATGGATTTGGTACTCGTTTATAATTATTATTTCTTATCAATCTTTAATGAGAAGTAAATTAACAGTACCGTATCACCCGAAAGAAATAGACACTATACCCGAGTTACTGGAGTCAGATTTGGATTTATACGGTCCCATAAACTTGGTGAAATTTGTAGCAAATAACGCGGAAGGAATTAGAGAACAATTGGTGAACCGATTTGAATTGAAAGAATTTATCGTGGAAGAAGTCATGAACTACGTAAGTTTTCACAAAGATAAAGCTTATCTTCAACAAATGACTTCACTTTTTTACTATGCCATGATCAATCCAAACTCAAGAGGAAAGGTACATTTTATGAAAGAATGCGCATCAGAATATTATCCAATAATTTTACTACAGAGAAACAGTCCGGTAACGGAATCTTTCAACAAAATCACGAGAAAATTATTTGAATCGGGTATTTTATCAAAATGGAGGAGCCAATACATTTACGATACAGTAAAAAAAAATCCGCCATCTTCAAAATTATCGTTACGTCACGTACTGTCAATAATAATCGTTTTACTTATAGGATTTTTTATATCATTTATTGTTTTCATTTTTGAAAAATTTAAAATAATTTAAATTAAACGAAAATTAAAATGCAATTGAATTAATATCGATTGTTGTAAAAAAAAAAGAAAATCACAACAAAATTAAAATTCAATATTTTCATATTATTTCATCATTTTGTCATTTTTTATTCATTCATAAATTGAAGTTTAAATTATTATTCGTATGAAAAAACCCTTAGCCATTAAATCACGAACCCTTTAACCAAAAAAAATTAATAATAATAATGATGATGAATTTTTAATAAACGTTTTTTTTTTAAATCGGTAAAAATTTTTAATATTATTATTATTGTTATTTGAATCTAATATGAAATAAAATTTTAAATGTTCCTACTCAATTTTCAAAAAAAAAAAAAAATTTTTTTTTCAACATCATATTAAAATTCACATCATCATTATGGTTATTATATTAATATGTACCAACATATTTATTTCTTCGTACGTACTTATACTAAAGTATAAGAGAAAAGTAAATACCTTTTATTATTATTAAAAATAAATGTTATTTTAAAAATGATTTCTCTGACATTAAATTATAAATTGAAATATTGCAAAGAGTAAAGTGAATAAATATGTACCTACATACATGTATAAGTAGTCGTAATTAAAATTATTTCAAAAGGAAAAAAATTAATATTAATTACGATTTACCCGACAAAATCTGAATAATAATCACTTTATGTAAAATTTTGACTATTTTTTTACACTATTTGAATGAATTGAAACAATAAAAATTAATTTTTAAAAATAATTCACTCGTCAAAAACATCTTTTCATTCTCATTTATTCTTTTTCATCTAAGAAAAAAAAAGCGGAATTTATCTTAGTGAGTCATAGAGTAAATAAACATTTTGAAACAATTAAATTTTTGTTCACGTTAATAATCCGAAACAATGAAATCACGTGACCATTTTTTAAAAATTCAAAATTCTAAAACATGCATAAATTAACTTATGGTTAATAAATATTTTTGTTTTTGTCGTTAATTATTTATTTTAATTTAGCGTTATAAAAATTAGTAATTAAACATTTTTTTAAATATCCTACGTCATCATTTGATTAATAATTTTTTAATTTCCCATAAACTAATATGTAAAATTAAGAATTGAAAAAAATATACAGTTACAAAATAACAGAAACAATTATTAAAATAAATAAATTTATCCTTAAAAAAAATTTTTTAAGGTTTTTAAAGTTTCCTAAACACACAAAGTATATTTCTAAAAAAAAAATAATAATAATAATAATTCAAAAATGTAACCTTTTTTTAAACAAAAGAAATATATATATATATATACTCAAGCTGGACATGAAATAAGTTTTGAATTATTTTATTAAGAGAATTTTTTTTTTTAAAACTTAAATTCATTTAATATTCTCTTTAAAATTGTTACAAACAAAGTCTTTGATAAATAATTAAACAAGCATTTTGACATTTTTTTTTTTTTTTTTTTAATTTTCAAAAAGCTTTATAAAAGTTTTTTTTATTAAACAATTATTTCAAAAAAAGAATTTTAAAAGAAAAAAAAAGAAAAAGAATAATTTCAAATTATAATATAATTACTACTACTTCTACTACTACTACTACTACTATTATTATTATTATTTTTAATAACAAATCAAAATCAGAATATTTAAATAAAGTTTTAAAAAAATATTTTGTAAAAATTAAATTTTAGTTTTAGTCTAACAGATTATTTCATTGCATTTAAAAAAAAAAAATTATTTTATTTTTGAAAAATAAATTTTAAATTTATTTACTTATTAAGTAAAAAAAAGTTTTTTTTTTTTAAATCTTATCAAAGGGAATAAAATTAAATTTAAGAAAAAAAATATATATATTACTGTCAAGTGATTTAAATTTTATTTACAAAAAAAATGTTTTAAGAGTATATTATTATTATTTTTATTAAATATTATTTATGGTTTTACAAAGTAAATTTAGTTTAACAAAAAAAAAGTAGTTGTAATCAATAAATTTGAAGCTAAAACTTTTTTACCTTTTTTTATGTATTTTTTTTTAATTGCTTAAATATTTTTAATTAAAAACATTAAATAACAGTAATAAAAGATTTTGATTTTTTTTTTTTATTAAAAAGAGACACAGTAGAAACTCTGAATAATCAATAAAATAAATGAATGTTTTTATATTTATTTTATTTTTGACATTTACAGTCCTCTCTCTCTCTCTCTCTCTGTGTTCACGATTATATTATCTTCATCTTAATTATCATTATCATTATATTCATAGTTTTCATGTTGAAAAAACATTAAAACTTTCATTTTATCAAAAAAAAAAAAAAAAGAATTATTTTGCAATAAATCTTTTTAATTTTTAATTTTTTTTTTTTTTTTTTTTTTTTGTACTTTGATTTAGTCAGTTCGCTACTTTTTATGTATTAATAAAATTTTTCAAAAATTAAATTAATTAAATATTATTTTATTTATAAATGTGTGGGTATATGCTTACAGGTATACATGAATATGAGAATCGAATATTGGTTTTATTTAATTTTTTTTAAACTTCAAATAAGTTGGATGAATATAATAAATTTAAAAGAAAATAATAATTCAAGTTTATTAATAGATAGCATGGTAGAAATAATAAAAGAAGTTAGCCATTTTAAAATATCCATGTGGTATTCAACTGAAGAGGAAGAACTGGTGACAATGTTATTAAAATCTGTTGAAATTCCAGTACTTATAAACGTACAGGAAAATTTTGAGGAAGGAATTTATACTGAGAGGCCAAGTGATTTGGTTTTTGTTTTTGGAAAAATTTCAATAGGAATGTTATTAAATAATACTTTTTGGGGTTTGAACACTCGGTTTTTAGTCATATCTAAATTTTTTGATGAAGTTAAAACTGATATAAAAATTTTTTGGAATTATAAAGTAATAAATGTTTTTGAAATAGTGTGGCCAGGAAAAGAAATAATTATTTATAGTTTTTTACCATATGCAAATGAACACTGTGATTTAGAAATATTTGATGTGGATAAATTTTCCACTCAAACGAGTAAGATAAATTAATTAAAGTCTATTTTAAAAATTATTAAAACGTTTGAAAGTAAAATTAAACTTTTTTGAGTAAAAAAAAATTTTTTTTTAAAAATATATTTTCATCATTTCAGAAAAATTTGTCAACAATTGTTTTGCCTTGAAGAATAATAAGAATTTTAAAAATTTAAATCAGTGCAACGTTAATGCAACATTTGTTAAAGTTAAGCCAATTGTAATTTCTGATGAGGATAAGAATATGACGAAAAATCTTCATGGAATAGAAGGGAAAGTGTTGATGGAATATGGTAAAAAACTTAATTTTAATATAACATTTGCAACTTCAGCTGATGGTGTTGGATGGGGATGGATAAAACCTTCTCCTCAAGTGCTGTAGGAGAAGTTTTTACGGGAAAAAGTGATTTTGCCATAGGTCTCTTAGCTCCGACAAGTGAACGATATCAATTTTTAGATATGTCTTCACCTTACGGCGGAAAGGAATGTATTACGTATGGTGTTCCAAAAGGTGCAGGTGTAAATACTCCTTACTGGATAACTATTTTAATTTTTGAATTCACCCCCTTCACTTGGTCGTTAATTTTAGTTACATTCGTTTTTATTTTTTATGCTTTTCATCAATTAAACAAATACTTAAAGATAAAACTTTTTTCTAAAGGCTCTGATATTTTTTTGTACGAATGTTCGAGTTGCCTCGGATTGCCCGTTAATATTCCTCATTACGAATTTTTTAGAATAGCAGTTATAACGTGGATTTTATTTAGCTTCATCATAACAGTTGCTTATAAATCTTCAATAAGCAGCAAACTAACTGTTCCACAGGATGATCCCGAAATACAAAGTTTTGAAGAGTTAATTCGTTCTCCGCTTCAGTTAACGGGCTATAACAATATGTATCGTTTATTAGAATACAATGGAAGTGAGCCAACAATAAAAAAAATGGCACAAAAATTTCAAATAACCGATTTCAATATAGAAAAAGCTGTAACATATATTTCTACAGAAAGAAAAATAGCTTACATGGGGCATACATCAATGTTTCTATATTATGCCTTAATCAATCCTTTAGCCAAAGGGAACATATACGTTATGACCGATTGCATACTATCATATTATCCATCCGTTATGTTGAAAAAACATTCTCCTTTCCTTATTCAGCTAGATATGCTAGTAAATAGATTAAAGGAATCTGGTATTACAAGCAAATGGAGATCCGAATACATTTTCAAAATTCCACCGCCTCCTAGAACATTCCTTAAACTGTCAAATGATCACATTTACGGTGTTTTTTGCATACTTTTTGGCGGTTTCGTCCTTAGCCTTTTATCATTTTTTATAGAAATTATAATTTATTACACTAAAAAATAAATTTATTTTAAACAAAAAATTAAAATTTTTAAATGTTCTAATAAAATGTATTTTTAAATTTTATCAATTGTAAAACATTCGAATAAATCTATTACTCTATATTATCTATCTATATTAATTTTAAGACGTACATTTAGCACTACATAGTTCCTAGAAATCTTATTAAAAATTTTTTTTTATATTTTAATTTTATTATAAAATTATAAATTATTAATTTATAAAAATTATAAAATTATTAATTTTAATAAGAGCAACAAACAATGATAAATTTTTTTGTAATTTAAAACGATGTTACAAATTAACTTCCTATCCGAATAACGGTTTTGACTTTTGTTTTGATTAATTTATACGTAAATTTTATCGACAATAATGTTATAAAATACATTTATACGATTAGTAAACAGAATTATAATAATATTTAAATGCATATTATTTTAAACAACACATATTCGAACTTAAAAATAATTAAAAAATATGTATACATATTATGTACAACCACTAATATACAAATTAAAATTTCAATGACTTAAGCATGGTTGCCGCATTGTTATTCTTTTTCCTAACCTAAAAATGTCGGCCTATGGAAGAGTTCAACAATGGGCCACATTTTGTAGAGTGTGGCATATATACGATGCAAAATGGCAAAACCCATTTGATTCAGCAAAACTTATCATTAAATATTTAACCGGAAAATATAAACCTATTTATCATCCACAAAGTAAGTTAATTTTAAAAAGTAATTTAATTTTTCTTAGTTAAGATGTTTTTTAATAAACGTTTAATTTTAAATGTATTTTACAGATCATTGTGGTGATCATGTAGTTGTAATTAATTGTAAACACATTGCTTTACCTGGAGATGAATGGAAAAGGCGAGTGTATTTTCATCATACAGGTTATCCTGGGGGAGCTTCATGGACATTGGCTTATGATTTACACAAAAAAGATCCTACAATGGTAATTAGAGTTTGAATTTTAATATTGATTTTAATTTTTCTAAATTATGTGAGTTAAGTGACTAAGTTTTACTTTTGTCAGTGTTAAAACGTTTAATTTTTAATAACTTGGCTTGTTTACTTGGTCATTAATTTAATTAATTGTAATTTAAAAGCAACGAAAACATACAATAATTAAATTAAATGTTAAATTAATTTTTAATTAATTTAGTGTCAGTTTCATTTTTTTTAAAATTCAATTATCTTTATGAAACATTAATCAAACAATATCGAGATGTTAGATTGTGCACTGGACTTTTTTTTGTTGATCCCTAATAGTTGTTCATTTGTCCTACAGTGTTGGTAAAAAATTTTCATTCCAGTTATTATGAAACAAATCTATTAAATGATTTTACACTTTGTAATTTTATGACGAAAACTAATTTTTAAAATTAAAACTTGATAATATGAGAAATAATTTATTTTTTTTTTTTAAATTTAGATAATGAAAAAGGCTGTGTATTCTTCATTGGACAAAAATTTGCAACGAAGACATACTATGGAAAGATTGCATTTGTATGATGAAGAAAAAGTTCCTAAAGAAATATTGGAAAATGTATCTAGCCAAATTGAACAGCTTAGAATTGTTCCCCGTAAGCTTAAAAGCTATTCCGAAAAAGAAATTGAAGAATTTCCAAAGCTTGCAAATTATTCTACTGATTATGTAAGAAAATAAGATTGAAATACTAGGTGATAATCAATTGTTATGTATTATTTCTTCAGTAAGCTAGAATTTCTTTAAATTACTTCTGTGTATTGAATGCAATTTTTAAAACGATTCACCATTCATTATTAATTGTTTTCAAATATTTTTAATAGCTTTCTTTTTCAAATTTAAAAAAATGGTAGCAATTATTTTTAGTTTTTTTATTTTAACAGTAATTATTATTTTCATTGTACAGTAGTGTTAACTCTAATAAATTTTATGCTAAATATTTTTAAAATGAGCTTGTTTATTTTTATGATTTTTTAATATCTATTTTCAATCCATCGACTGACCTCTACATTTTTATATTGTTAAAGAATAAAATTGATTTTATATGATTTAGTAAATAATTAAATTGGGTTACAGGACAAAATAAGAATTTATTAAAAAGCCTATGTCAGTTAATAAAAATATATTAAAACTTATTTAATTTTATTAGATAATAAAAAGTAAGAAAATAATTTTTTTTTTTTTTTTTTCCAATAAAGGCAATTAATTATTGGTTTTTACCTCATTTAAATGCAAATCTTTTTCCAATTGATTAGCGAGAACAAACATCATATATTTTCGATTTTTATTAAAATTATCAATTGCGATTTCCCGTGAATATTCCCAATTGTACAAATCTCTATAAAGTGGACGAACGAATTTCATTCGTCCTTGATCGTTTAAAAATTTCAAAACGTCTGGAATTCTATCCTGCCATTTTGATTTCACACAAACTCTTAACCAAGCAAATTTAACCTCCGAATTTTGTACTTCTTCCATATGATAAACTTTGTGCATCAATTTCAATTTTTGAATATCAAACGATTCTTTTTCTAATAATTTTGAAAAAAACATGCATTTTTGAGCACTTATAAGGGGTTCGAATTCTGCTATCGTGAAGGGACAACAATTAAACAAACATTCTTCCGTTGGAACCCAATTCCACCATTTTTCAATCAAATTTTCAACGACAATCAACAAGCTTCGATCGTAATCAGGTATGACTGGAGGCATTCCCGGACAATAAAGCCATGTATTCCAATCTATACTATCCAATATTGACGTACGATTATCAAAAAACTCGTATAGATGATTTTTAAAATCATTTGTTTTGACCGTTAAAAATTTAAATTTATCCAAATAGCTTTGTAAAAAAGCACTAAACTTTCCTGTAAAATTATTATTTTTTTTTCCTTTTATTTATACCAAATTCAAATATTATTTATTACTTAATAATAAAAATATTTAATGAAAAAACTATTGATTGAAAAAAAAAAAAAAAATTCCCAAGTATTAAATATGTCATCGGTTAAGCCCTAAAAAATTTAATTGATAAAAATTTTTTAAAATACATAAATTATTATAACTTACCGTCCTCGTTTAAAAGAGTTTCCAAATAAAATAAAAAGGTATGACCCTTTTCATAAGGTACACATGAAAAAGCATCATCTGGATCTGTAAGTTTTAATTGTGGAACTAAACAAGTCAGAGGATTTGATTCTCCTAAAGTTGTTACCTGCAAAGTACAATTGAAATATTAATTAGGTAATAAAAGTAAAATTAAAATTTACTAAAATAATTTTATAGAAAAAGTAAGGTAAAAAAAAAAAATTGATCTTCTTTTTACACAAAACAAAACAAAATATACAATTGTACATAAGTAATTTTTGTGTGATGTTTATAATTAATGACTATTAAAATTCTAAAAAAAAAATTTTTTTAAGTTAAAAAAAAAGTATGTAAAAACACTTGCCACAGTTTCTTTTAAAGATTCTAAACCTAAAATTGCATAGAAATGTCTTTGTGGTTCTCCATACAATGCACCAATAATTTTTCTTTCGATGAAAGTTGTAAAACCTTCATTTAACCAAAAATGTTCAAAATTTTCATTTGTAACTAAGTTTCCTGTCCAACTGTGAGCTATTTCATGTGCTATGACATTGGCCAAAGATCGATCACCTGCCTGAAATTTATAAAAAAAATAATTTAACTTCAAAACCTTTAAAGGTATTTAAATATTCAACATAAAAAGATTATAAAATCTATTCAAGATTTTTTGTTTAATATTTATTCATTTATTATATTTTATGACATAAAAATAAAAAATACAAAAAAATAAAAATATTATAAGAAAATACAAACCAAAAGTGTTGGAGTGACAAATGTAAGGCATGGATTTTCCATTCCTCCAAAAGGAAACGATGGTGGTAAAACCAATAAATCATATTTATCCCAAACATAGGGCCCACAGATTTTAATGGCAGCCCTCAACATTTTATCAGTCTAATAAAATAAAATGAAAAATATTTTTATAATTTCGTTTACTAAGAACTATCTTTTAAATGTTAAAGTAATAATTTTATTATATGTTAATAATAATAACAGTATAAAATACCTCTGAAAACTCAAATGCACATTCTTTAAGTATTTCTGGCTCTGAATAAACACTAGACTTGGAACCCAAAATTTTTCCTTTAAGTCTACCTGCGACAATGGCTATTAAATATGATGGAATAGGAATTTTTTGAGTAAATTTCCATTTTAACTTGTTAGTCTCAACAAGTTGAGGATCACCATTTTTAATTCCACTCATGAGTACCATCAACTGCTTTGGAGCACTTATTTCAGCTGTATAAGGGAATTTAACAGAAGGAGTGTCTTGGCATGGTATAATTGAACGACAGTGTATAGCCTGAAAAATATACATAATTAAGTTTAAAAATAAATTTTTTAGTCCAAGACCTACTTACTCTCTATTAATATATACTGAGAAAATTCAAATGAAAAGTTTTATTTAAATTGAATATAAATAATATCATTAAAAAATAAATAAAAAAATAAAAAACAAATGATTTACTTGGCATTGACTAAACATAAAAGGCTCCAGCTTTCCAAGAGTTTGTTTTGCTGAAAGCCACTGAAGTGCACTTGCCTCAGGTGATGTTTCATATTCAATACTAATTTCATACCTTAAAATCATTTTAAAACAAAATAAATAATGACAAAAAAGTGCAGGTAATGTAAATCTCACAAATTTAAATATGAAAAAAAAAAAAAAAAAATTATAAAAGTCATTGATCATAAAATTGAAATGTGTTCTAAAACTTGCAAGTTTAATAAAAGTCGATTTTTTTTTTTTTAAGAAAATAATGGGAAAAAAACTAATAAAAAAAAATTTAGAATTCCTAATATTGCAAAATTAACAAATAATTGATTAATTAAGAATATACAATTAAAAATAAATGTCTAAAACTAAATTATTGCAAAATTTCTAATACATAGATAAGAAATACTCGACTTACACATTCTCATTTGTTTCTTTTACAGGCAATGTTATAGTTAATGCACTTCCGAAAGATTGATAACTTTCCCCAATTTCAAAATTTAAGTTTTTATTAGTTGACAAATGTACCACTTTACTAATTTTTAGGTCCTTACAGTCCAGAACCTAAAAATATTTTACATATACAAAATTTTAATTTATTCCATAAATACATTTTGATATAAAATAGTTGTGATCTTACCAAGTGACTTGTAGTTACATTCTCTTTTTTTTCACAAGTTAAATGAACTTTTCCTTGCAAAATATTTTTCTCAAAATTAATGTCTAAAAATAATGCCAAGTGCTTGATTCTTACTTTTTCTGCAATTTGAAATAAGTTATAAAATATTGATTAATTTTTATAGATAAAAAACCCACTTGAATCTACAAAATCTAATTTGAAAAAATAAATATGTAGATCAAGTGTACATTTTAAGTAATAATAAAACAAATTATTTATAAAAAAATTGATTTATTTACCAGGATTTGAATAAGAACAAGGGTCAATTATACCTAGTTTCCTAACCTTTTTTTCCGACATAATATCCAATTTAACTTTTCTAAAAAAAAAACAAATTTTAAAAATTTATATTAAATAATGATTAAAAATTTTTACTAAGACTTTGCCATATATAAAATATTTCGAAGTAAACTGATAAGATATTAAAATTATAAGGTTTTAGAGAAGATAAGCTAATTAAAAATTGCCGGGCTTTGTAATTGGCCACTCTGTTTTTTTTTCCTACCCAATCGAAAAGTAATTCGTGACGATAATCAATATTTTCGAGTCTCGAAATAAAGGAAAGCGTTTGTTTTTTAGAATTATGGAGAATGTTGAATTTTTTTAATTTCACAATATTTAATAATTTGACTTTCGAAGTTGAAGAATTTAAAAATATTATATTAGATTCTTGGAGTTTGTTGTTTAATTGGAATTTACTTCAATATTTTAGAGTAACCAGTTTTAAAAGTTGTTTGATTTATTTTTCTTTTGATGATTTTCAAATTAAACTTTTCAAAGGATTCTTAATTATCCTAATTTGCAATATTATTCTGATATTTTTTACTTGGAGAATTTACGGAAAACGAATTTGCAATCGGTTTATGAAAACAGGTACGTGTAAATAAAATAACAAAATTTTCAATGACATTCATGCAACAAATTAATGGTTCCATATTTATTTAGCTTCTAGTAAAGCTATAGAGGAATTAAAAAAGAGCGTATCTATGCTCAAATTACCCACGGAGCACACACCAAGACTTTAAATGATTGACAAAATTCGAAAACTTTTAAAGAACAAAAAAACTGATGCTGCTTTTAAAAGGGCTGGTCCAGGTTACAGATTGAATGAACCATCTGATTACTCAAGAAGTAATCATAGTGGGGCTTCGAGTTGTGGCAGTAGTAGTGGTAGCAGTGCTAGTGTTCAGCCCTCATCCACTAGAAAAGAACTGACTGAAGAATCAAAAAATGCTGCCGAGGCAGCATTGGCCAGATGGGATAAACAAAAAAATGTGGGCAAAAAGTAAATAAAACAAATATTAACTTTTTTACCTTAATTATTTCTTTAAGTTGATAAGGTAACAATTAAAAATGCAATGATTTACACTTTTCTTGAAATTTTGTATATTTCAGTTCAAATGAATAAATATAAGTTTTCAAACTTAAGAATGTATTTCATAAAATAATATTTCTAAAAAATTTACATCTTGATTAATTAAAATCTTTAAAGTTATGGTACATACTATTTATTTAAAATTTTTAAAAAATTTTTTATTCAGGTCAATGGCTACAATTAAAGCCCAGGTAAGACAAGAATTAGAAGCAGAAAAACGTGTTCATACTGCATCTGCTGCTACACATAGTAAAAGCAAACCAGAGATTGAATTGGAAGGTTCTCCTCTTTTAGCTGTACAAGGTGTTTTTTTTGAATGTCCTTTATTAGGACCTGATGTACTCACAAAAGAAGAATGGAATCATAAAATTAGAGAATTTCTATACAATGAATTAGAAGAAGAAAAAGGACTTATTGCTTGTCTTATAATTCACACTTTAAATTATAATCGAGAAAAGGTAATTGATTTTTTCTAGTCGATGTCCAGTACACTTTAAAATATCAAAATGAAAATTTCCTTTAAAAATAAAATAAAAATTTAAGTGCATCTCAGTGTCTTCAAAATTTAATATTTTATAATTTTGTGTTAAAAGTATTACTTTGATTACAAATAGTTACTTTTAAAACTTAATGTTGACAATCTAAAATATTAGTTGCTGGGAATGATAATTAAAATTGTATATTATTGAAATTACAGGTAGCTACATGTGTGAACACAATTGTAAAATATTTAGAAAACATTTTAAAATATCCAGATGAGGAAAAATATCGAAAAATTCGCATGAGTAACAAAGTATTTTGTGAAAAAGTTCAGCCAGTCGAAGGTGCACTACTTATTTTAGAAGCTGCAGGTTTTGAGGTTAAAGAAGAAGTTTCAAATGAGGGAACTGTTGAAAATTATTTGGTTTATCCTATCGAAAAATTACCTGATGCACCGGAAGTTTTTGAAATTTTAATTGATGGTCTTAAAAATGCAGAACCCATTACTCTGGAACTTCATAGAAATTTACAAGTACTACTTCCTACCCAAGCAAAAGAAAGAAATGAATTGCCTGCATCATTCTACAATCTGACTGTGGAAGAAATAAAAAAGGAACAATTTTTAAGGTATAAAAATTTATATTTGTTTGAATATCATTTAATAACAGCATCAAAGTAGTAAACTTATTATTTTCCGTAAGGAAGAAAAAAAACAAAAAACAAATTTAAAAATTAGAACTTGTATATTAAGTTTATTATATTCGCTAATGGTATCATTACTTTTTTGTACTTTAAAAATGTACAAAATACTTACTCACATTCTTATAATTACTTATTTAGATCAGTATTAAAAAGGCAAATTAAAAAAAAATGGAGACCCCAATTTACAAATAAAAAAAAAATTTCAACTAATTACTCATTAGGATAATTATTCGAATATAAAAATGAATTTTATTCGATTTTTAAAACTTAAATTTTTATTTAAAAAAGGTAAGATGTTTTAAAATAACAATAAAATTAATATTTCAGAGCAGAAGAAGTTGAAAGAAATCTAACTCTAAGAACTAAGGCAATGCGTGAGAAGGATAATATTCAAGAAATAAGAAGATACAAGTTTGCATTAATTAGAGTTCGTTTCCCTGACGGAATTCTCCTCCAGGTAAATTATTGTTTTTATAATAATTAGAATTTTAAAAATTTTATCATACATTTGGTATATTTAATTTCCTAATAAAAATTAAAATTATGAATAAATTCTTTTAGGGTACTTTTGGAGTATATGAAAAAGTTTCTTCTATTATAACTTTTGTAAAAGAAACTTTGGATGATGAAAATTTAGGATTTACTCTTACAACTCCTGATGGACAACACTTGGTTCCTGATTCAGAGGCCACACTTTTAGATTTTAAGTTAGTGCCTGCTGCTATTATAATTTTTACTCCTGATACTTCTAAAAAAACATACTTCAAAGCAGAAATTCTTACTTTAATTGAATCTTTAACATTATCATAATTTACAGGAAATTATTTGCAAGCATTTTGTAACTTTTAGAAAAATTAAAAAAAAAAAAAAATTTTTATCAAAAGTGTAAAAAGTACGTTTTTAGTGATAATATTGTGATACTTAAAATAGCATCCAATTTTTTTATTCTTATTTAAAATATTTATTTTACATTTTTAAAATGTAAATTAAAATAAGTTGTATTAAACATTTTTGAAATTATTTAAAATATATATTGAAATGTACACACTTTTTTTTAAATTAAAAACAATAAAAAATGAACTAATTGGGTATATATAAGGAAATTCTAACTAAAAATCAATATTGTATTTAATATGTCAAGCTTTAATCAATTTGTATATTAAAAAGAAAAACAATATATTTTTAATTTATTTCACTTTAATTGTTTCTTTTACAGTGAATAGAAACCATTAAAGATTTTTAAAAATGAATTAAATACTTGCTATTGAGAGTTAGCTTATTTAGTAACTCACTAAAAAACCGCGATTTAAAATTTTCGAAGAACGATGCTTGCTTTGATTTGAGCACAATAATATTTTAAATATGGCAGCCATAAATTCTGCCGCCACGTTTACTGCACTCTTGCCAATGTTACACTGTTGCCAATATTGCACTGTTACTTATTCAGCTGACAATAAGAAACATTTGAGTGAGAGTTGAATTTTAAAAAATAATTTTTATTTTATATAATTGGTGATGAAATAAAAATATATTAAATAAAAAATAATCTGCTGTATAACCTGCAGTTTTTCTTTTATTTTTTTATTTTTTTTTTTTTACGAAATTGGGAGCAAAATGCTTAAGTCTAAGTAGATTTACAAAATATTTGGTTTGCATGTAGGTCATATTTTAGAATTTAATTAAACGTAGTTACATTTAAATCTTAATATAAAATAAATTTCCGCGAAAGTAAAGTAATTTAATTTTAGAAATAATTTTAATTATAACACATAAAATAATTTTTTTTTGATTGGAATAAATCCAAGTGTATTTATTTGTTTAATAATAACATCACAATTGTAAAATTTTAATAAAAGTTTTTAATTGTCATTTAATTATTTCAGGAAAATGAATCAAAAAAAAAAATTTTTTTATTTAGTTCTAGCTAACCATTGGGGTATAGTAATGGTTGGCTCCGGTAAATGAAATATGCCTAGCTCTGACAATAGTAATAACATTGGTAATTCTGCAAACGAAGAGCTTGATTATTTTACAATTTTTACTGAAAGCAACATGAGTAGAAATAATACTCTTACAGGCGACAATTTAAACAGTTACTTTAATAGTACCAACAATCTCAATAATAGTAATCATAATAACAATAATAGTAATGTAAATAACAGTAATAGTAATAGTCATACCAACAACAACAACAACAACAACCATAACAACAACAATAATAATAATAATAATAATAATAATAGTAATAACAACAACAACAACAACAACAACAATAATAATACCAGACTGAGAAGCAATAATAATCAAAATCCGTTAATAAATGTAAGAGACAGATTATTTCATGCTCTTTTCTTCAAGGCAGCTTTAACTTATGCTAGAACTTTTCCCAGACCTGTCAGAAGGTTTTTGGAATTTTTCGTTTTGTTAAAGGTAACAATTATTTATTTTAATGTTGTTATATTTAATTTTAAAATTTAATATTCAATGAAATTTGAAATTTGATATTTAGGCTATTACTGCATTTTTTATTCTCGCATACATACACGTAGTATTTTCCCGTACTCCTACCAATTGTTTAGATCACATTAAAAATGATTGGCCA